GCGCTGGTTCTTTATTGACGCTTCAAAAACGTAATATTTGGCCGATTTGAGACGTTTTAGGGCTTTTCAACTCGAGACATTCCAGGGTAGTGAATGATATGCAATAAAAGGCAGGTAAACTTATAAATTTAGTGCCTACTTTACACCCGCTTATGGAATTTCGATAATATTTCATTAAGATGGAAAGAAAAATCTTCAAACATGCACAAATATACAGATTTTTTAGATATATGCAATTTTTCATGAAATTGGATAAAATATGCGAAAAATGCATAGATATGCACTTTGCATATTTTCCGCCCTCTAATGATAAATATACACATGGGTTTGAGATTTTTGTATTTTAGAGCAACCATTCTGAAGATATAATTATAGCCAAGAAGATATAATTATAACTAAGCATATCTAAAAGCGTATATAATAAAAAGATAATTAAAATAGTTTTTAGTTACTCTAATGATGCTAATGCAAATAAAATATAATTTCCGTTTTATAGAAACTTAAATAAAATATTCGTTTTAAATAAAACTGAAAATATTACTTTTAAACTAAATATCGCAAAACGCTTTTGGTAATTTAAAAATATAATAATGAAATAAATATGGAAAAGTGTCTAGTACACACTACTTTCACTTATTGTGTACTTTTTTAAGCTTGCCACTAACACTCTTACTGTGCTCTTGTCCTCTATGATCGTTGATTAGTTTTTTAGAGTAATTGTTCAGTAGTATATTGGCAAAATTTGTAATGCATATTTCGAATAAATATTTTTGGTCTACGCCGAACTTCTCGCAGTTTTCTATACTTTCAAATTATGATGAACACTAAATGAATAAGAACGGATTTTTCACAAGATACTTTAAAAAAATCCGTTTCATGTCTAGCTGAAATCAATGCTTGGAAAAAAGTATAGCATTTTAGTATAAATTCTATTAAAAATTGAGTAGGATAATTCAATCCGCATCGGTCAGATATTTTTAAATATTCATACCGATTGTCAGGATTTTTTTTATCAAATTCCATACTTTTCCCAGAACATAGCAATTCTTACAGCTTAAGCATTTAATTTTTTTAAATTTAATATTAAAACTTGTATCTCATTATCAGTTATTATAATTTCCTGGGTATCTAAATCTCTAAAAATCAATGCATCAATAGGCTAGCCTTTGTACTAAAGCTTTAGTATAAAAGGATCTTCTTCTGTCCACGAAGCCAAAAAATTGTCCAATACTACTTCTTACCAAATTTTGATTTGAAATCATTCTTGAAATTATCAAAAACCCCAATATTATCGGCCGCAACCATAATTTTTGTCTTTTTCTTCCTTTGTGCTTTTGGTCGATTAATTTATGTTCTGGATCAGTTCTTTTAGGTTCAATTTGTTTCGCTCAAGTCTCATTCGGTCTGTTGCTAATACCAATTGAGAACCGTCTTTCCTTTCTGCTCTTGCTTCCCGAATTACGAAACTTTCTTCAAAATGTTTACTGCAAACCACAGAAAATGTTGATGGTATAAAATTTTCCCTGTGAATGTTTCGAATCCCTTGCGTTCGTTCCCCTTGCTGCTTTCTTTGATCATCACAAGAGAAATGAAATACGGTAGTATACTCTACGATCTGGCATGGTTTTTATTTTCGTTTCAAATAAAAATTTGCTCCATTTAAGTATTTGAAATATCATGTATGAATATTTACTCACTTTTTACACAATCAGTCACCTTAATTAATAATGAACTATTAACTTAACAACACGCGATAAATGATGTTAACATAAACTAAACTGCAAGCTCGAAGCGTGTTCTTGCAGCCGATGGACGGTAAAGGTTCTCTATGCGGTGGCCCGTACTTTCCGTGGGCCCCGGTGGGATAAATGAGGAAAAGCTCAGTTGGGCCACAACACCGAGGGGGATTTGTGGAGAGAAGTTATTTCCAAACCGTTCATCCTCAGTGTGATTATTTCCATGTCATCTGAAGAGTTGCTGCGCCCGACTTCGGAAGAAAAGTTGTTATAATGTTATTTTCTATAAGCAAGACAGAGCCTTAAGCTCTAGATTGAGTATGGGATGCCACACGGCATCCGCATATTTGTTTTATCCTGACAGAGCCTGCTGTTTTGAGGCTGAGCCGTTAAAATTATCTGGTAAACGGAAATCTCTAGAAAACGTACTTTGGGTTAAGCAACTATTTATGTTGTAGTAAGTAGAGGGACCGCTTTGTTTAACAGAACTCATTTAAATTGTTTAATCAAAAATTGAGACAGAACGGACCATTGGGAAAAATCTAGCTGCTCTAATGATGATTATTATTATTATAATTAGGGTAAATTACATATTGAGATAAAAATCATAGTAGAAACTTTTGAACAAATAACATGCGAAGTATGGGTTTAAACTAGTTTATTAACCAGAGGGCTTGTATTCTTCATTCCTATTTGATTCTCTGCAATGGCTAATGACAAAATAAAATTATTTTGTTAGGTTAAAAGCAACAAATTGATAAATTAGATTTATTCTTAATTATTACACCGTTTATTAGCTGTTCGTGCAACTTCTATAGCAAAAGTAGTTCATAGATGCTAGTCTTTTAGAATTGGAAATTTATCCGAAATCTTGTTATTGTACAGGTATAAATTAACCTTTATAATGAGTACAAATTTAACGGTATTGCCTAATTTCGGGGACATGATCAAGCAGTTACTCTTTTTTTGAAAAGAACCGTTTTTTTTTGCTTCAGAAAGGGTTTACCGTGTGTGTCTCGATATCTCTTACGGCTTTTAAGATAAACAAATTTTTGTAGTTTGTAGTAATACAACTAATACAATCAAAAGTAATACGATTGTGAAAATAAAATCGAACATTGTTATTATTAACAAAGGTAAATGTTGAAAATGCATTGGTGGGCATAATTGATAGTTACTTCTTATTTGCCTTAGTTAATAATAGCAATTCTCGATTTTATCTTCACATACGTATTAGTTCTGTGTCAGTCAAAAAGTGTTTTATCTCAAAATCCCTAAGAGATATCCAGAAACAAGGTATAGCTTTTTTGAAGAAAAAAAAAGAAAGGTTTATCTAACTCTTTGATCATGTCCGCAAATTTGGCAACACCGTTAAATTTGTCCTGAATATAAAAGATAATTTTGACCGTACCTGTACAATAACAAGATTTCGGATAAGTTTCCAATTCAAAAAGACGAGTATCTATGAGCTACTTTTGCTACAAAAAATTTATAAACAGCTAATAAACGTTGTAATAATTAAGAATACATTTCATTTTTCAACTTGTAGCTTTGAAGACCCATAATTCCATAAGGAAGCCAGATTGACATTTTTTTATAACAAGAACTGGCCTTATTTTCAGGTCTTCTGGACGGCCTATCATTGTTGACCAACAATTTCCGGACACCCTGTATAATGTGATTTAATAAAAACTAATCCACTAATTTTGGTTGCATAGTTTGTAGATTGCTTAATGGGAGACTCTGGAGACAAATGTTATGTAGGGCCAAACAAAGTATTGGTTTGATATTAATATTTTCATAAGGAAGCAGAGTAGCTAGGTAAATCAAATTAATTTTTGGTTGGTTTATTGAACAAAAAGATATATAAACCTCAAAACATTAAATTCCTGAAAATTTGTTAATCCAGTTTCTGTAATAACTGATACTCGTAAATACTGTAGGCTGGCCATACTCGCATGTTTCATCGCCAAAAGACACCAGTCCAATTAGGGAGTTTTTTACTACCAACGGTCCGCCTGAATCCCCGAAGCATGCACCCACAGCACCAAAAACAGTATCAAATCCACCGGTGCAAACGTATGACTTCGGATCAGACAGTCCGTTTGAGTTTAAGTACGAAATGCACATCCGATCTGTTAGAACTTCAACTGACACTTTCCTAAGTTTGTTTTGCATATGATTGTCAGCGTAGGAAGTCAAACCTACAACTCAGAAGTGTAAGAATATTGCATTTTAGGTATAACCGTATAATTGCGTACCCCATCCAGATAAAACTCCACTACATCCGGACAAATCGTCATCTTCTCCAACCAATGCAACTGGCATTACGGCTGCGGATAACTGAATATGGTGCTTTAGTTTTAACAAAGCGATATCGTTTTTTAATTCTGAAGCACTGAAGTTCTCATGAACTATTATAATAGGATCGTAAATTACTATCTGAGTCTCTTCATATTGACCGAGGTTGTGCGCTCCTAGAACAACTTCGATTGTTGGGTTCCTAAAAATTGCAATTTCAAAGTTTTCCTGTTGATTTAACTTATTCTCATTAATAAATGGTACTTACTGAGAGACGCAATGGGCTGCTGTAAGAACATGCGTTGTTGAAACTAGTACCCCTCCACAAAAATTTAAACGATCTAAAATAAGAGCCACTTGATATGGCAGAGAATGCGGGCAGGCCTCGACTCCTCCAACAATTCTGTAGCTTTTCTAAATGGGAATGCAATTTTAATACTGAATTAATATTAAAAATCAATTAATATTAGAAACGTAGATAGGTTTTTGTAACGGTGTTAATATTGGTGCAACAAAAATACGTAATTGAAAATAAAAACTTAACTTTGGAGAGGCGGTGACTTTCACAATAAGGGCTCTTTTCTGGTTTGGAATTTAAAATTATTTTAACATTATATTAGTGTTTTGCGTGATTGGAAAGCATACACAGTAAAAATCCGATAGTTTGCTTAAATTGCCTAGAGTGACAAATTAAACCAATCTGAGTGCGTCTTCTTTAGACTAAGATATTGCTTCGCCAGAGAATCAGCCCTGTGCTGTCTCATAAATGCTATTTTTAACAGCCACATGTTACGGCGACTTAACAGTTCAGGATAACATTTTCGATAACACAGCAACACAACCGAGGTATGTTCTATTTCCGAGTTAACGTATGCGTTTCCGACCCAGTTATCCATCAAACGTTAAAAAGAAACAACATATTGGATGCATAAAGTGAGATGCCCTTATACAAATAGTCAATTAGTTATAGAGAGAGATAGAGAGAGAGATAGAGAAAGAGAGAGTTCACATCAAACAATCAAAGCTTCTAAAACATATGCACCACCACCACATGTGCACGTTTTGACCATTTGGGCCACCTACTACCATACTTGTCTTTGTTTATGATTTGCATTCACTTTCAATTTCGTTCGTTATTGTTCTTGACCTATCTTCTCAGTTAAAGTTAACGTGAGTGTCATGCACGTTAAAGTCTGCCGGCCATTTGCACCAGTGGAACTAAGGGTCACCTTAACTTAAGAGTGACAGTTAAGTAACAGAATTCGTTTGCACCACTCTCACCTAGCGTTAAGGCGAACCGTAACAGGCAAATAATTTAAGAGAAAGATGTTGTGCCTCTTAAGTGGAACCTAAACTCTGCCTAATGTCAGTTTCGAAGAATTTTTGAGGTTGGGGTTCAACCAGAAGTGTTATTGCATCATTGTTGCAGTATTTTGTTGTAAACAAGCCGATTTGTCGTTATCAGCAGATATTAATTTATTATGAATGTGTTAACTAATGATCTGTTACTTGATCATCATGATGATGATGATGACTTCGACCAAGTGCGAGTTCCTATACGAATTTACGAGAGAACACATTAGTTTAATAGTTTTGATGATGTTCTGTTTTTTCAACGGTTTCGCGTCACAAATTCCACCGCACTTTTCATATTAAACCTGATACAAGAAGAAATAGAGTTTTCATTATACAGGGTTGCTCATTAGTGCGTCAAAGTGCGATATCTCAGTAAATATGAACTTTACAAGAAAATACGTCCTACGAAAGTTTTTCATGTTTAAAAGGTCCACATTTTAAAATTACTTTCCAATATACGGGGTGTATCATAAACGTGTGGTAGTTACCAACTTTGGTTTTTTAAATGGAACCGCCCCTTTTTTCATTCATTTTCAGATTTGTCGTCAAAATTTAAGTTAAGTTTGTGTCAAACGTTTTACCTGAAAAATTTACGATTTCCGAGTTATTCGTAAAAATGTGAAAGTTTTGACAGCTACTGGGTTCCACAGAAATCGATGCTGTACACACCCGCTGCGAATTTTGGAAAACAGTTTTCAGCGATTCTAACAGAACATCATGATCTACGCGTAGATATGTTTTAAATTATAA